ATGCTACTCTGTTCTTGGTGTGTTCTTGTGGTTTAAAAGTGCAGGGGAAGTTTGATGTGAAGAACCAAGCAAGCTGCCCGGCGGAAGTTGTTGTTGGTACGGTGAGTTTTGATTTAAACTAAGTAAGGTGGGCTTTGTGAAGTAGTGTCATCTGAATAACTCTTGCAAAGACAAAATCAATCGAAAAGGGTAAGGTGTTGGGCCCAAGTTCCATAAGCCCAGTACGAGTGAATTGGGTTTTATCTCAAACACGAGAAGCAAAGGATTCCACTCTCATTTTCGATCAAACACTGCTGTTATTGTTCTCTCTCAATTGCTCTTGGCTGGAACGCAAAAGAGGAATTTGTAGGAACTGATTTCACACATGTAGCCAAAGAAAAGAGGGAAACGTCTCGCGCTCGACGCACCAACACGTGGTATCAGAGCCCGGCTCCGTCGATTAAGGTTTAACAGCCTCCGGAGAAGCGAAATGGTGTCGATGTCGGCAAATAACAGTGACCTCTTTCTCAGTGATGGGTTGTCGTTAGATCGGCCGCCACAATTTGCTGGAGTTCATTATGGGTACTGGAAGGACAGGATGGAATTTTTCTTTCTCTCCCATGATCCAGAACTCTGGATAATCGTACAAGAAGGACCCTACGAAGTGAAGACTGCACGATGAGAGTGGACAGACGACGACAAACATAAAATTCAGCAGAATTCACGGGCAACCAATATTATGTATTGCGCCTTTGGACAAGAAGAGTGTCATCGTATATATGGATGCAAGACAGCAAAGGAGATTTGGGATAAGCTCCAAATTACATATGAAGCCATGGAAGATTCGAAGAATTTGATTGGGGTTGAACTCGACGACGTGAATGAGTCTCTCATTACTTGCGAGGAAGTTTTAAGAAAAGAAGATAGTAATGTGCAAAGTTGCTTTCCGTCGAAGGCAGTTGCAGAAGTAGTGAATGGTGATTTTGAGCATATGAAGAATTGGTCATAATCGGTGAACATATCAATAACCTGCTTAGCCGAAGAAAGGAACAAAGAAGGTACTCAGTAAACAGAAGGAAGGCAACAGAATCTGAAGTTCAAGATCAAGAGTTTTCAAAGCGAGAACCATGTAGGCAAAGTTTGAATACAAGAGAGGATCTTGAAACAAGTCGGCTGCAGTCTGAGTGCTTCATCAGTGGGAGACAAGAGCATGTTAAGTTCGAGTGTCTCCAACCAAACAGTAAAGAGGCAATGGTAGCATGGAGCTGTAGTGAGGTGAATAGTGAGGAAGAGGGAGAAGTTGAACAATTCGCTTACATGGCAATTGCTACCACTAAAGAAGAACCTGAACAACTAGCATCCAAGAAGGCTCATCCAGGTTCAAGCGAGGTAAATAATTCTGAACTCTCTGACTTCGAATACTATAGCGATGATGATCAGATGATAACAACAATTAGGGATATACAGGTCGAATTTGGTAATGTTAAGCAAAAGCATATCAAACTGAAATTAGATCTTGAGATAATGACTAAAGAATGCAATAAGCTGAACATGGAAAATCAACTACTAAGTGAGAAGTTAGAGGATTGTAATAACAAAGTTAGAAGTTTAGAATCAGAACTTGTAGAGATTAAGAAAGAAAATCTTGTTCTAAACGAGAGGATAATCAGGTTTGGATCCTCAAATGAAAATCTAAAATGTCATGATACATCCTGTGAACAAACTAGAAGAAGTAGATCGAAATCTAGATCTAGCCCATCACATGATCATGATAAATTTGTTTCTCAAAGTGAATGCTTTTACTGTCATAGACTGGGCCATCTAAAAAGGGACTGCAAGAGAAGATTAGCTGCTGAATATAGACTAAAAACTATGAGATATTTTCACTGTGATGAATTAGGACATACAAAGAGTCACTGCAAGTTTAATCTACTAGCACACACCTATCGAAATAGGAAAACTTGCTATACGTGTCATAAACCCGGTCACTTGAGTTTTAACTGTCATTTTAAGCAATCTGATTTCCTAGAAAAGAATCGAAAGGAACCCAAGCTAGTCTGGGTTCGCAAAACAACATAATTGTTAAGTGTGCAGGGTTGTTCCCAAGTGAGCATGGGAACGATCGGATGAGCTATCGGAATTGGCGCTCACATCGTATGAAAGGTAATAACAAGTTGCCTGCTGGTCCTATAGAAGGTAAGACAGGTTATCCTTGACAGATAACAATTGGGGTGTAATTTGTAGATATAAGATATTAGGAAGAATCATGTCGGAAATCTAAGTTGGTATGACTATTAGAAGTTTGAAAGAGACCTACATCAGTCATACAAATAAATAAAAAGGAGGGGGGAAATTGAGCTGTTTTTGAAACTAGATTGAACAAGTTACAAAACTCTTATTCACATGTTGTTGTAACTGAGATTTATGGGTGATCTGTTTTCAGACATATCTTCTGACTGGTAGGAAGGCTGGTCACTTTTCTTGGCATAACAAATTGAATGGTTTTACTCTCACCAGGAGAACTTGGCCGTGCTAAATGTCCTGTAAAGCTGCTTAGAAAGAAAGAAGTAAAAAGTAGTGCTTGTTTCATGACTAGAACAAACTAAAAGCTAATGAACCATGTTCTCTTGATATATATTTTGATTCCTTCAAATTTTATGAGCCTTGGGAGGCATACAAGGTAACCTGGATACTAGATCTATAGGGTTGTTGGTGTTTGCAGGATAAGATGACATTGGTGCATGCTTAATTGATGAAAATGGAATGCAACCAACTAGGTTAAACTTGACCTATTTTTGTGAGTCGTATCTTCATTAATACACACTTTGAAAATGTCACATTTATCTCTTGTGTGTTTGATATGTGTTTATTCTCTCAAAGTGTTGTGTGACCATAGCTACTTAAATCTTCTGGTCTTTGACATCTATGGTAGTTAGTGTTCAAATCATACTGGAACCAAGTTTCAAGAAGAATGGGTGGTTATACATTTCATTCATTCTGGCACCTAAGCACTGCATAATTGGGTATAAATGTAATTGCTCTACATGACATCTAAACCTCTGTGATTTGAATTATGACATGAGGATATAAAATATTAGCTGCTGAACTAGAAACTAGCTTATTCTTACTAGTGCAATGATGGCTTGATGAGAGAACCAGAAGTTCCTGAAAGAGTACGTACTGGTGGTTGTATTCTTTATCTCTGGTCGTAGGATTAGCCATCAGTTCGAGTAATTCACTGCACAAGGGTTTAAAAGAAGCTAGCTAATATGGTTTTGACTTGATAGTAGAACATTCATAATGTGTCAAATATGTGCATCACGGGTTACTAGTAGATTGATGTCTTTGAAATGGTGAAATGTGGCATTATCTTGTTCTACGGATTTCGAAATATATTTTACATCGTGACGGTATGGTTGATGTTCTAACTAATACTTCATATCCTTAAGGTTGGCCCAACTCCTCTTTACCCAATATAGCTAAAGCTTCATAGCTTAAGTTATATTGTATTAGATGGCGTTGTCAGAATATATCTGAGTTAAAGGATTTGCATTGTAAACATGGGTTTGTCATTCTTATGGTTAGTCCATCATCTCCCTCAAACCTGTTGGAAAGATGTTGTCAATGTGGCTTGCTGAAGTCATTATTGAAATAGGTCAGATGAGTCTGTGAGCTTAATTACTCCAATAGTTGAGCTCCACGGCAGATGAGAAAAAAAAACAGCACTTGGCAAAATCGCAGTCTCCTTGCAGATGTAAGTGTCAACCTGTCACTCTGATCATACGTAACCCAGGCAAAGAATATGATAAACTAAGAGAAATGTTTCTCTCTGGAAAAACTAGGCTATAAGTTTAGTTCTTGCTGGTGTATATCTTGTGTTCTGACCATAAAAAATCCTGAGACTTGGTATATGTATGCACATCATGATAGCGGTAACCCAAGCAAAGGTTATTTACCAGCTACAGAGAAAGGAAAGCCAGGTAAGATAAGTTTCAAAAAGCAGTGTTGAAATCGTTGGACAAGAAACTCACAGTTATAGACATCTACTGCTGCTGAAAGAGAGGAAAAGAATCCAAATGAGTAAAATGAAAATGATTCTTATCAAGAAAACTGCTCAGAACAAAGTCAGAAGAAATCACCACCACCCCTGCACATAAGCAAGGTATATCTTTCAGCCACCGCACAGGTAACTGAAGCAAAGGTATGGTTCTAAAGTTTTATTCTGTCCTAATCAACTTCTAGGTGATTTATAGTTATTAGTATGAGTGATGCATTGCATGAACATCAAAAGAGATCATTGGAGAAAGAGTAAGCATGACAAGTTTGCCCTGAACATACTCATCACGTGAAATATTTGGATGTGTGAGTCAGCTTACAAATAGAGTGATATATGCATAAAGGTGTTCAATTCAGTGTGACATGGTCATTCATTTCTGATCGTATCAGTCTTGATCTTAACTAGTGCATTCATATTAAACATCATCGGCCGTTATTAAATGCAAAGACATTCTGGATAAACTGGATGAGTGCTCTTAATGCCACAAGAATCAGGTGAATGTTGATTTTTGCCTATACTCTACCATGATTCCGATTGTGTGCAGTAGCTCAGGTCTAAGTACATAATTTGTACTGATTGTAGTCCTGGATTTCTCACTTGATGATACTCTGTGATTATGGTGGGATAGAGAGGGACCTCTTTTCTAGATAGGATGAACAATTTAATTAGTTCATGCTGCGATAGGGTTCATAAGAATAAGATACGATACTGCAGTCCTTAAACCTTGATTCAGTTTCTGGCTTAAACTTGTCTTCTCTTAACAGGACATGCATGTAGGTCATTGTGTATGCATATTAGGATAGCTTTGAGGACATAGAACTCATAACTTCTGTGCAACTTGGTTGAAGCGTTGCTTCACTCTAAATGTGATAGTGGATTAAGGGTGAATCCTGATGTTCTCTAGACCCTTGGCAGCCGTGCATGAGAGATTATCCTATTCCTCTTAACTGATGGTTTCATGCTTACTCGACTAATCCTCTTTGATCAAAATTAAGGGGGAGAAGTAATCAGGGTAATTGTGAGGAGCATACCAAAGCTGAATGGTTTTACATGCTGGTGGGTAATTTTCATCAAAGTTGAATGGTTTTACATGCTGGTGGGTAATTGTGAGGAGCATACCAAAGTTGAATGGTTTTACATGCTGGTGGGTAATTTTCATCAAAGCTACCTGCTCTCATAAACCTTTTAAGGGATTGGTTACTACAACCTAGGGGAAGTAATATCTAGAACTGAGGGGGAGAATACAACCTGGGGGGAATAATCTCTAGAACTGAGGGGGAGCAACATTAAGTATGCTATCTAATGATTAATGTATCCGAGCTCTCTCAAATTTGTTTGCCTATATGAAAACTTGTGGTCACAATGTCACTGATGCTGATATCAAGTTTAGGGGGAGATTGTTGGGAGGAAACTTGTCATTAGCAAGACAAATTGTGTTATGCTTGGTATGGATGGGTGTTTGTGAAGTTGAGTCTTGTTATATTTGAATTATCATAATGATGCCTTGTTTGACAAAGCTCACGGGCACTTGATTAACTTGCTGCGTTAATTTCAGTGATCAACTTTGTAATGGCATCATTTGATAGTAAGTAGTCTAGACTAGTGAATTGATTAAGATTGCAGGAAGAGAAGCTTACCTTGTATGCAGGATAGGCATAAGCTGTATGAATGCTACAGGCCGTTCTCAGTTCCAAGTATCACACTAGGTGCATGTTTTGCAATGGCTTGATGCTTAAGGAGAGTCATTCAATGACCACATCAGCAAGCGATCGTCAGCTCTGCATCAACAGGCTGCAAGGAGGACTTTCCTTAGACGGCAGATTCACAAATCAGGAGCATTCAAAGAAAAGGAGAAGCTTACCATTCCTGAGTGGATTCAGTATCTGGTGAACATGGAAATACAACTCAAGGCAACGGTCAGAATATAGAGTCTATAAAAAGGAGTCTTGGGTAGATAGAAGAGAAAGACTTTTCGGGTTGATCAAAATCAGAGTGCTAAGGAGTGTGAGCAAGATTTTGTGTGAAAAGTCGGCACAGGAATCGGGGAGATTTCTGGGTATAGGTATTGGACAATACCAAGGTTCTATCAGGAGTCGACTGGATATTTGAGATATTTTGTAACTGTGTGAGCTTCAACGAAACAATCATAGTACAACGTCTGAGATCACACATCGTGAGTCTCAGACCATGGAATAGTCAGTATTGGGATCCTTATTCTCCCAATACTGGAAACCACGTAAAAATCGTGTGTCCTGGTCAAATTCATTTTACAGCTTTGCTCGCTTTTAGACCCTTCTCGTGTGTGCTCTATTTGCAGTCTGTGTTGTGTTTGAGAAATTGACCAGGACTGGAAGGGAGAAGGGACGTCCAAGCTAAACATTCGATCACACGTAGTGGATCGAAATCACTAGGTTCGACTTAATTTTAGTTTCGTTTTCTGGGTTATATGCTACTCTGTTCTTGGTGTGTTCTTGTGTTTTAAAAGTGCAGGGAAATTTGATGTGAAGAACGAAGCAAGCTGCCCGGCGGAAGTTGTTGTTGGTACAGTGAGTTTTGATTTAAACTAAGTAAGGTGGGCTTTGTGAAGTAGTGTCATCTGAATAACTCTTGCAAAGAAAAAATCAAACGAAAAGGGTAAGGTGTTGGGCCCAAGTTCCATAAGCCCAGTATGAGTGAATTGGGTGTTATCTCAAACACGAGAAGCAAAGGATTCCACTCTCATTTTCGATCAAACACTGCTGTTATTGTTCTCTCTCAGTTGCTCTTGGCTGGAACGGAAAAGAGGGATTTGCAGGAACTGATTTCACACACGTAGCGAAAGAAAAGAGGGAAACGTCTCGCGCTCGACGCACTAACACTTAGAAGTGTTTCTTAACATGAAGCTATAGGAACACTTACATGTTGTTGACCTCTACACTCTTGAGCTTAAAATTGAATAGCAAATGTAGCAAGAAAGTATGCGTGATATGGTTTGGTGATTGGTTGTGGTTTGGAATAGTGGGAAGTGTGGTTTTTGGCCGATGCTAATGGCAGTTGTTTGTAGGAAATGTTCTAGTCGAAACCATAGAACCTTGTGTCTTAGGTTGAAGATGTGGAACCTCATGTTTTGTTTGCCACCACCCAAAAAGCCTTTTCCCCATGTCATAGACCCCAGTCATTTAAACCTGTGTCTAAGACCTCCGGACAAGCTAGCAACGACACCCATCTTGTGAACTCTAACATTTAGAGGTTATCGTACATCATGATAAAGGGACGTTAGGATTGAGCGTGAATATGCACATCTTTTGCATCAAATGATCCCAACCCCACCGGTCGAGAGTGAGCGATTCTTCATCATGGTTTGTTCATTTCTTTTACCCCGGTGAGGACCTAGGTTGCTCGATCGTTCGCTCCCATGATGTGATCTCCATGCATGAGTAACTGTGATTGGTGAGTCGTCGAGGCATGTTGTGTGTGGGTTCGTGAATAATGTGAGAACTCTTTTTTTGCACAATCTTAATAGAGTTGAATGTTGTTTGTGGTGGTTGCCAAGATTACTTTGTTTTTGTCCATAGGTCGGTGTCAAATAACCAGTGTGATTCATTCGTTTTGTGCCCTATAACATGCCCCAAAAATTGTGTTGACAAAGAAATTGTAAACTTACCTTGTTTTGTACTTGGTTTGCTTGGGGACAAGCAAACGTCTACGTGTGGGTAGGGGTGTCCATTCGGGTTCAATTTTTCGAGTTTACTGGAAACCGACCCGATTATATACATTTTCGGTATCTCGGTTTCGGGTACGTTTCGGGTTTTGGGTTTTTCGATTTCAGGTTCAGTTTGGCTTATCGGTTTTTCGGGTTCCGGCTAAAACCTCCAATAAATAGAACTCAGCCCGTATTTTTAGGCGTTCGGGTTTTTGGGTATCGGTTTTTCTTTAACCAAACCCGAAGCCGATAAGCAATTTTCGGGTTTCTTGTAACCGAAACCCGCAAGTCCTTATCTGGTTCGGGTTCGGTTATAGTGATTTTTCGGTTTCGGGTTTTCGGGTTTTTTTGTGTTTTGGTTTGGGTAACCGAACCCAACCCGAACTGACAACCCTACGTGTGGGGGAGTGATTCGGGCTCAAATGTACACATTTTACCCCTCATTTCTTATTCGTTTAGCTTAGTATTTCATCTATCCTCGACATATTTCACGCTAGGTTGTGCTTGTTTTTATACATTTCAGTTCCTTGCACGTGTGGAAGGGTCGCGGACGAGTTTTGGGATATTTGGAGATCAAAAAGCGCAAAAACCGAAGAAACCCATAGCAGTGAAGTGAAGGCGTCCCAGGAAATAGCGGCAGTTCACGGTCGGACAAGGCAGTTCACGGTCTCCTAAGATCTTGAACATGGACAACAAACCGTGAACATTGAGCAGTCCAACGAGGTTCGTGAAGTTACTGACGACAAGGTAGTTCACGGTCTCTAAGATCGTGAAATGGGGCCATTGACCGTGAACCCAGGCGAGTGAAGCGACGCTGAGTTCACGGACGCGTTTAGGATTTCACGACCATGAACTGGCCAATGCGTCCATGAACTGGTCACTTTCGGGCAAATATGAAGACAACAATGGGGAGAGAGAAAAGAGAGCCGATTTTTGGAGAAGAAACACTTTCTTTCTCTAGGGTTTCAACATAAACACCAAAGGGGAGTAGTAGTGAGAGAGAGTGAATGCTAGAGTGATCTTGGAGCACTATTGGAGGCTTGGGTGGAAGATTCAAGCCTAGAAGAAGAAGAAGATCTTGAGCTCAAAGTTGTAATCCCTCTCTCTCTCTCTCTTTCTCTCTCTCTCTCTAGAAACTCACTCTTTGCTTAGATCCCTAACTAATACTTTGTAATTACTTGTTTAGATTGAATGATTAAGTGTGGGCTTGCATCAATTTGAGTATTAGAGGTGTTTTCATGGTGATTGTTCATGCTCGTGCTTAGTAACGTAGGGGTTGTGCATGTTTGTGCTTAGCACCCTTAGGTTTGTGCATGTAGGTGTTAGCAATCTAATTAGCCACCTTAGCCTAGCTTAGAGAGGAAAATCCCCCTTCCAAGGGAGACTCAATCGAGTTGGTTTTCCTTCTGCTTTCTAAACCACCTAAACTAGGTTAAATTAGGGCAACCCTAAATATTGAGTTAAGCAAATCGATTAATCATGATTAAGCCATCCGACCTTAGAGTTGAGTGAGGGAGTAAGTCAATTACAGATTGTCTAAACCGAGAGGGTCGAGTGACACGGCCTTTCATCCTTACTTCGGTTTAGCAATTGAGATTGTGGTATCCTACCACATATGCATCCCTCTGCGGTTCGCGATTATCGTTCCCATCTAGGTTGGTTGTTCTTGAGCCGCTCAAACTCCAGTTTGAGGGAGAGACCTAGGAAACCACTGGTGACTGAGTGAGAGGATCGATCCCATGACAAATCGACCTCAAGTGAATTCATCCCGTTACAAATGGATCACTAGTTGCTCCTCCTAGTAGTTTCCTTAGATCTGGTGAGTGGATTTATCCTGTGACAAATTGATCGCTAGTGAATTGATGTCGTGGGAGATTGATCACTAGTTGCTCACCCCCGAGGTTCACAACCACCTACGCCTAACGACTTTATTCAATCCAACGAGTCATGGTAGCTAGTTAGGGTGAAGCAATTCCTAGGTGAAGCTCCCTTAGTTAGAGTTTTTCTTTATTTAATTTGTTTGCTTGGTTAGTTTGTAGTTCCAATAAACCTAAACCTTAAAGTTGTTTGCTAGATAACAACCTAAGTAATTGAAGTAGGGGTACATGGATCGGCCCGGGTTGACAATTTAAATACTTGCTCTATACTGCACCCGGCTAGAGTTCAAAAACTTGGACTCTAGTCGAGATTAATTTGTGGTGTAGCTTCATGCAAAAGAGATCTTACCCAATCCGCCAGTTTATCTCCTTTAGCCTCAACAGATGGCGAAGAGGTTCGCTATGGTCTCCCCAAAGGATGTCTTAAAGTTCTCAAGATAGGAGGAGACGGAGAATTAAAGGGTGATTGTATTGTTGCCAAAGAGAGATCCTCTCACACTCTTTCTATCGAGTATATTGATGAGGTTTCTTTATCCGATTGCGACACTCTCTATCAAGAAGCGATTGCTTGCAAGTTAGCGAGTGAATTATGCCCAACTTTGACGGCAGATTCTCAACTGGCACTGCGTCTGAAAGCTGAATTTGAAGAATTGAAGAAAACGGCGATTGACATGGACGGAATAGAAATTACTGAGGATATGGAGTATTAGAGATGCCCAATGTAGCGTTCACAAAGCGTTCTTTTGTTGGTGGTGAATATTCTCCTCAGATTATCCAGTCTCGCAGTGATCTTGAGATGCATTCTCGGGGTATGTCTCAATGTTTTAATTTGATTCCTTTGCAGGA